TGTTCAGCCAGCTGTCGACCAACACCCCAAGGTCTATTTCCACCAGGCAGCTCTCCAGCCACTCCTCCCCAAGCCTGTAGCGTTGCATAGGGTTGTTGTGACCGAAGGGCAGGACCCAGCATTTGGCCTTGTTGAAACTGATACAGTTGGCCTTGGCCCATCAATCCAGTCTGTCCAGATCCCTCTGCAGAGCCTTCCTACCCTCAAGCAGATCGACACTGCCACCCAGCTTGGTGTCATCTGCAAACTTACTGAGGGAGCACTCAATCCCCTCATCCAGATCATTGATAAAGGTGTTAAACAAGATCGGACCCAAAATTGAGCTCTTGGGGACACCACTCATGACCGGCCGCCAGCTGGATTTACCTCCATTCACCACCACTCTCTGGGCTTGGCCATTCAGCCAGTTCTTTATCCAGCAGAGAGTACACCCATCCCAACCATGGGCAGCTAGTTTCTCCAGGGTGAAGGAACTAGAAACTCCCTAGAGTTGAAGGGTAGAATGAAAAGGAGTGTTTATTCGATGTAGCTGCTTGTCAGCTCCCATTTTACTTGCCAAGAGTGTGCTGACAGCGTAGCTCTAATTCGGATCTGGGGGAGGTGAAATTCCCAAGCATTGCGGATGGATCCATTGCAGCCCAGTCATGTACTTACTAGGACAGGACTGAGAACAGTTTAGTCATTTTCCTTTAGTTCACTTCTGGATAGTAACCAGTTTGATCACAGCTGATGGTCAGCTAAGAGCAAGAGCCCTCCGATTCCCGTTTGACAGCAGAGCTGGCAGACCCAGGAGATTCCCTCCTTGCTGCATGCAGTCCGTAGACCTCTGAGCGTGTTTTACCCATCAGTAAGCTTGGACTGTATACACGCTGTTTGATGCCTGTTTCTGCCACATTTTGGGCTTCAGGCAGTGCCAAAAATAGCTTTGCTTTAGGCTTGTGGGGTACTCATGATCCTGGCAGCTCTGCTGATTCCTTGTAGTAACATGTCCTTCTCGGTGAGCACCCCAGGACCAGGGTGGTTCACAAGCAGGGTGTGACCGGTATTAGGCAGAAGGTCTGTCCTCTCCTCAGACTTCTAAGCATGGCCTGTTCTGACAGCGTGACTCAGTGCTCTGACCAGGAACCGGCTGCAGTCTGTGTGGGTCAACCATAATTACCACAGCTTGTCTGACTTGTGTTAGATTTGTCATTTATTTCCTGTGGGAGCTGCGACGGCAGTGTAGTAATCGGTGTCCCACCACCCTCTGTAAAATGAAGTTCTGTTATTGGAACAGAAGCCTGTATTGTTTGAAGAGCTGATGTTCCTCTAAATCAGACTCTGTGCTTAGCGGTCTGGCCGTGTTTGCTGCGTATAGGAACTGTAGGGATCTGTCTTGCCCACAGAGATGCTTTGTGTCCGTGCTCACCCCTGCTGCAGCACGTGTCTGTTTCAAGCTCTGCTGGTAGCGACCGCACCGTTTGGTCTGTAAACTCCCAGCATCAGCCAGACGAAGTCTGCAGGTTGTCAGGACCATCCCCGTTGTGCTTGGGGTGTTCCCTGGAGGTTGTCGTCTGGGAAGCTGTTCTGTTGCTTCCCCCTCAGGGCACGCCGAGTTCGGTGATGTGCCTGTGTAGATCCCCTGCTCTCCCAGCCCAAGTCAGAGCAGGACAACCAGAGAGCTTGGTCTGAGAGGTCCATGGGACTTGCACATCGCTGTCCAGACCACTTACAGTCTCGCAGCCAGACACAGACAATTATTAGGTTTCTGGTGGTTTTAGGGGATTGCACAGCTGTGCCACAAACACTGAACAAGGACTGAAACAGATTGATTTTTGGGGGGCTGTTTTACTGTCTGTTCTCCCTTCTGCCTTCCCATCCATCCTGTCTGGTAACTCCACTTTCCATCCCCAGTTTCCACACGCCACGTTTGAGCTCAGTGCCAAGAGAGGAGTGAGGAGTCGGTCACCCTTTCTGTCCTGCTCCTGGCTCTCCTGTAAGCTCCATGACGAGACCAGGAGCTATGTTAAAGGTGCTCTCGGGGGGATCACCTCTGTTGCCACATCTGTAGCCTCCGCAATTCCTTTGGCGTAGGTGAGCCTGCCCGCAGTGATCTAGTTTTCCTGTTCTTCATTGACCAGAGCAAAACATCTACCTCTTCGGGAAGAGGCGCGAAATGCAGGTTACCAAGATAATGAAGTTCCAGGCTCCAACTATGAATGTCCTTCATTAACAAAAGTTGCCTTGAATTTCAGGTCTGGGGATTTGGCTGTGCTGAGGTCTCAGAGCAACTCACTTGCTAACCTGCTGTTGTTTCCTCTTTAGGGAATTCCCAATGAAAGCTGGAGGTTGACCAAGATTAATGAGCGCTACGAGCTGTGTGATACATACCCTGCTATTCTAGCTGTGCCCGTAAGCATTCCTGATGAAGAATTAAAGAGAGTAGCATCTTTCAGATCAAGAGGACGCATACCAGTGAGTGTGACAAAAGAAGCCGCTCTGATGTGGTGGTGTCGCATACCTTCGGGCCATAAATAATAGCAAGATCAGGCTGAGTGGATTCCAGAGAGCAAAAAAAATGGTCAGTGGACAGTAAAAGTGACAGCAACATGTTTGAGGAGTTAGAAAGCAACATTATCTGCTGGAACTACTGTTGTGAAAGAGATGTAGACTAAACCAAAATGGGAAGATACGATAAACTGGCACAATCCAAACCGGATCTCAGTTCAGTTCCTGGGAAATGCAAAGCAGCCCTAATTGGTTGTTTACAATTATCTGGCCTACTCCGACATTCAGGATAGAGGAATACTTAGTGATATCCTTGATGAACGTGCTTATTAAATGAAATTAAGACAAAACACATTGTTACAATTATGTGAGCGCTAACTGAAAATGTACTGGTTTACTTCTCAAGCCTATAGAAAATCAGATCTGTTCCTGAAGTGCTTAACTTTTACGCGGTGTAACATAGAGTAAGACACAGCCCAGTGACTGCAGGGTGAGAAAGTGTGTTTATGACTCACACAACAGTGAGAAAACAGTCTGCATCATATTTAGAAGTCAGACTTAAACCTATTCAGTCACCTCTTGTTTGTTCAAACTTTGGGAATGCCATCGGAATGAGTGAGTAAGGACGGCAGAGTTCTGTCTTCCATTCAATCATGATTTAACAGAACCCAGCCTTCTGGAACCAGCAGGTCCCAGCACACGCGATGACAGGTAAAACACTTCACTGGTTTAATGAATCCCATTTTTCCGTCATTTCTTTCTCGTTTGTTTCTGAAGGTATTGTCATGGATTCACCCAGAAAGTCAAGCAACGATTACTCGCTGTAGTCAGCCAATGGTGGGAGTCAGTGGCAAACGAAGCAAGGAAGATGAGAAGTACCTTCAAGCCATCATGGATTCTAATGCTCAGTCCCATAAAATCTTCATATTTGATGCAAGGCCTAGTGTGAATGCTGTAGCCAATAAGGTCAGGTGGTTTTTCCTCTGTTAGGAGCTGGGAACGTAACCATTCAGAGCACATTTCCCATCACCGTTTCAAATTATTCCTTTTCTACTGTGAAGAGATTCATATGCAATGATCTGATTCTCTAGACAGACTTTTACACCTGCACTGGTGTCAGCAGGTATCAGTGTGACTATGAAAGGTCTGTTTGGATTAATCCACAACTTGAAATCAGATTGGAAAGGGAGAAATCAAAGTAGTACTGAGGTCAGACTCTAGCACCCTGCATCTTGTGTATCACCATTTTCCACTTCACGTGGCTGAAAGACTGCATCCTCTGACAGCGCCAGAACTCTGTCGCTGTTAACCCTGACGGGAGCAGGGCTTATGCGGCATTTCTTTAAATCAGGCGTTATGATCTCTTAATTTCAACTTATAAGATGGGGATCTTTAATGTCTGGGAAAGTTTCTGTGTTCGTCCTGCTGTTATGTCTCATTGCATCACTCTAAGTCCTGTTTTAATGGTAGAACTGCTGTGATGCACTAAAGCTGAGGTTTTTTATCTCTTTTTTTGTTTGTTTTTGTAATCTGTCTTTCCCGCTACTTAGGAAAGGCAGTTAATGTGTGGGGTTTACTCCTCTATAATAGTACGGTAAATTTGTAAATGACTGAACAGTGACTCTAATGAGCTTGCAGCTTGAATGGGGATAAATGATAATTATAGAGAAAAAGGCGGCTTGTAATGTGTTATTCTTTGGCAAAAATTATAGCATTCATTAGTATTGCAGGAAAGAGATGCAAAGTGCGTGTGTGTAGATGTTTGTTCCCAATTGTAAGACAAATCCAGTGTTTTCTGCCTGCTTTAGATAGCACAGTCGCTGTCGTATTTTGTCAGCTGATATTTGCTCAGGACTAACGATTGGGATAAAATATAAAACATGTTGTTGCTTAACAATTTTTATGTGGGTTTTGTTCTTCAGGCTAAAGGAGGGGGCTATGAGAGTGAGGATGCCTATCAGAATGCAGAATTAGTGTTCCTGGACATTCACAATATTCATGTTATGAGAGAATCACTGCGAAAACTGAAAGAAATTGTGTATCCCAATATCGAGGAGACTCACTGGCTGTCGAATTTAGAGTCAACTCACTGGCTAGAGCATATCAAGGTATGCATGGCTGTACCCACTGGATGTGGCTGGGTAACCACAAGCCCATACCAGTCTGTTCACTGGGAAGTGCATCCAGAAGTAACTCCAGTGCTGGATTTTCAATTCATGGGAAATTTAAAGACTTAATGATTTGTTTTCAGTTCAAAACCAATTAAAACCAGTTTCTTGGAATGGGGAATTTTGAGGAGATGGGAAGAGGGGCAGGAGAGGGGTCTGAAATACTGGGGGATGGTGTTTTGGAAGTGGTGTTCCTGGGTAATGAGTGACTGTGAAAGCCCTGGTTCCAGCGTAGAAGTCCCAGAGCTTCCACGCTCTTGACTTGGGCAGCTTTGGCATCCTGGCGTTACTGCCTGGTCCAGACCAGCAGATGCTGGGAGTTCGTGCCCCATCAGCCTTTCAGGAATCCAAGCAGAACTGGAATGAGTGGGGCAAAATGCTTCAGCTTCTACAAATGTTGGTTTTCAAATGAAGCTCTTTCTTACCTAAAAATGTTCAGCTTGCATTGTCTACCTGCTAATGCAGAAAGGAGCAGTTGCAAGGTGATGGCCATTTTGTGTTTGTGTTCAGACACAGAATGCTCCTGCGTTTAAATCCCGGTCTGTCCAAGGACTGAGCTTAATGCAGGGCTCTTGCAGAGCTGTGCCTGTGCTGCAGTTCAGATGTGTTGTCATCTTGCTGGAACAAAAGATGTGTTCACCAGTTTGCTGTCCTAGCTGTAAAGTAGTGGGAACTGATTTACCATTCTCCTTGAGGCAGATGGAGCCCTTGGTTTGTCCTGTGTTGTCACTAGCCATTTTTCATTTATAGTTTCTGTTCCAAAGAGATTTTGTAACTTTTTTTTTTTTTCCTTGTCCTAGCTCATTCTCGCTGGAGCCCTTCGGATTGCTGACAAAGTGGAGTCGGGGAAGACGTCTGTGGTTGTACACTGCAGTGATGGCTGGGACCGGACAGCCCAGCTCACCTCTCTCTCCCTGCTCATGTTAGATGGCTACTACCGCACTATCAGGGGCTTTGAAGTGCTAGTGGAGAAGGAGTGGCTGAGCTTTGGCCACAGATTTCAGCTGGTGAGTCGCCCTTGGCAGGCACTGAGCAGAAAGTTATTGTCCACCCAGAAGGATTTCAAAGCAGTTTAGCCTTTCCTGTGAGAAGTCTCCCAGCTGAGCTCGTAGAAGAAAGGTGAATGCTGCTGCTATTTTTTTCTGCCTGTAATTCCCGTCATCTCTTAACCTCCATGGAGACAGTCTTGCTTAGGTACACGGAACAGGTGGTATGAAGTCTCTCAGGTGCCTGACTGATATGTCGTGTTCCCATGCTTAGGCGTAAACTAACGCTGTGCTTTGGGTTCAGGATGGGCATTTCTGCTGGGAGTTGGCAGAGACCACTGGGGTACTTTTTGTCTTTCCATTTTTATTTTTTTTCTTTCCACTTCAGGCCTTTCTGAAACTGCTTGGACACCATCATCTAACAAATGCCTTGGTATTGAAGAGGGTGGGGAATTTGGTTATGGCCTTGACCTCACATTTTCTTCAGGCACATTTTCTTTTTGGGGAGGCTTTTAATTGTTCAGGTTAAAGATGAGCAGTTTGAGTCTGGACCAAGGGTAGCGGGTGGTTGTGTCCCTGGAGTCGGCAGAGAGGCAGCTTGTGGGCCTGTGGCACAGCACTTTGTTACAGTTTGCACTGATGGGAATGGAGAGAGCCTTTCAATCTTTGTTCCTGTTGTGTTTTGCTCGTGGCCGTTTAATTTTGCCAAGGGCTAGAACAAGGTCGGTTTACAGCACGTGTGACTGTGGGTTGCCTGGTTAAATGCTCTGAGGAAGGTGAGGAAACTGAGGCGCTAAGCAACTGTGGTTCTGCTGCAGCAAAACTGTTACCTGGTGTTTGAACGACAAGTATTTTAGCTTCCCTGTCTATAAAGAGAAGATAATGATTCTGATTTCCTTTGGTGAGGGGAGGACAGAATTAGAGAAGAGGTAGAGATCTCTGTTACTTCTATATTCTTGTTCTGTCTTTGCATGGTACTTAGGGCTCCTGGGTAATATATAAGCAGCACTGTACTATACTAGTTACCAGGAATCAGACCTCACATGTCTTACCCGAGGCTGCACAGCGTGGTTGGGGCTGGAGGCCTCCTTCTGGGGCTCCTTTCCTCACTGCCTCTTGAGGTGGCCGGAGATGGGCTGGGTTAGTGTTTGTACAGCGCTTGGAAGCGGCGAGGTGTTGTGTGATGGTTATCGCCGCGCGCCGTGCCTGTAGGTAGTGTTTAGATCCAGCGCGCTGTACTACTGCAGTAGCCAGGACGACAGCTGCAACTGAAGCAAAAAGCATTCTCATTTTTCTCCTTCTGAACTTTAGCTGTTAACTGAAATCAGTGCCAGCATAGCATCTGGAGCCTCTACTCAAACAACTCTTGTTCTAATTTAGCATGAAAATATCCCCATAAAGAAATTTCACTTCAAAGACAAAGGGAGTAGCTGTCCTTTACTCCTTTGCCCACTGTTATGGACAAAGCACAATCAGGACTCATTTGAACCTACTGAAAGCTGTTGGCAATGGCTTGGGTGACCGAGAGGAAACCCCAGTGGTTTCCCCGTGAAGCCCCCGTGTGACTTATGTTCTTTGCTCTTTTTCAGAGGGTTGGCCATGGAGATAAGAATCATGCAGATGCAGATCGCTCTCCTGTCTTCCTCCAGTTCATCGACTGCGTCTGGCAAATGACAAGACAGGTAAATTGCTGGGGGTCACACGTGTCCACACAGCCACTGTACCACAATGTGGCAGTGTCTGGCCATGGAAGTAATTTCCAAGCCGACCTTCACAGGCTTCCCTTCCTGGGCTTCTGCTCTTGCCTTGACTCTGGCAGCAAGTTTCCGGGGAGTCTGTTTAGCAAAGAGCCTGCATGCACAAGTGCACAGGAAGGCCACGATGTCGGCTTGCATCAGATTAGCTAGTTAGTGGGTGCTGCTTACCTACACGCTGCTGTAATAAACGCGAGCTTGTGAGAAGAAGTTTGCCTCACCCCGAAAGAGGGGACAGCTGCCTCGCACTTCCCATGGGCAGGAGCAGACACCCCAGCCATCCTCAGTACCCCGCTGTCCCTTCGGAAGTGTGAGTGATTGAGCCGCTAACAGAAGACTCTAGCGCGGTGGGTTCTGAGAGACCGCTGTTGCCTCTGCTCGAGCTGATCCCGTCACCAAACCTGCAGCAAGACGTGCGTTTGCTCCGTTTTAACTTCTTCTGAAGGCAGGCTCACTGCTGCTGATTCATACGTGGTGTACAGGGCTGAGTTCCTCGCTTCAGACCAGGCACGGCAGAGGCACAGGTCAGGAGAGATCCCCTGTGGTTGCGAGGTTCTTCCCCAGGTTTGTGGCACCTGGAAGGTTTTTTTGTGTCTGCTGTGACAAAACCTGCATCACTTGGCAAATGTCAGCCATGGTCAGGCAGTTCACTGCAAAAACTAGACTCATCGTGGATTAAAACAGCTGAAATGGAAAAGAAGGATGCCACTGTGTGTGAAGCTGTACCGTATCCACGCAGAGAGGGAGGGAGGCTTTTACCATCATCAGAAGTCCCTTTCATCACGCCATCCTCGGATTGCTCCTAGAAGCAGGCATCCAGACCCGCTGGTGAGGTCACGGCGTTCCAGCCAGGTCAGCCTGGGAAGAGAAGGGTGGTTTGTGAGGGAGGAAGGCCTCCTCCCTCTCCATCGCTCCAGCACGTCTGTTGCAGTTCACTCTATGCATGCTTACTGACCCTGTGTGGAGCTTCCGCTCTCCCCATCGGGGGTCTGACCGGTTCTGCGTGGCACGTCAGCAGCAAGCACAGCCCCTGCTCCTGCCGCCGACCCGGGCTGCGTGAGGCCTCCCTGCCGTGCCCCCGGGAAGCGCTGTGTCGCACACACACCTGATTTCTGTTTGGCCCCAGGAAAATTCCGTTTCTTTTTGTGCATTGTTTCACATGTGCTTGAGCCTTTTGTTCACAGTCCTGTTGCGTGGTCTGTCGTGAGGGGCGGGCGTAACAGAGTAAGCTTCAACTTGAAGCAGCATCGAGCATCTGTAAACAGAGCAGTCAAACCTTTCAGACCTCTGGCTTTTGCTCAGAATTCCTCTTTGCACACGTAAAGCAGCTTTCCAAGAGAGAAACTCTTGCTCCTGGACAGAACAAATATGATCCTGAATATCCAGCCAGGCAGGGAACAGGGACAGACCCTGTTTTAGAAATCGAGAAGAGAGGCCAACTCCTTACCCAGACCACAGAGCGGGAGAAAGTTTATTTGCGATTCCCGTTCTGAAATCCCAGCCTAATTTTCTGGTTCTGTCTGAAGTTTCCTACAGCATTTGAGTTCAACGAGTACTTCCTGATAACCATCCTGGATCACCTCTACAGCTGTTTGTTTGGGACCTTCCTGTGCAGCAGCGAGCAGCAGAGAGTGAAGGAGGTAAGGCAGCCGCCGTCCAAGGGGCAGGCATGGTGCTGTGGTTGCTTCAGCTGGCCAGGCAATGCAGGAGAAGTTGTTTCTGCGCTCAAAGATAGTGGTGGATGCAGGTCTGGGTGACACCAAGCCCTCTTCCTAGGAGCTGGGACATGGGGTATTTTCCTCTTTCTGCAGAGTGCTGCCTGTCGGAGACCTTACGTGTCAGAGCAACACCGTTTCCCACAGTCCCACTGCTGTCAGCACGGCTTTCAGCGGCTCACCGGGGGCTGAGTAGCTCCTGGTGTCTCACCAGTAGTTGGAAATGCAGTTTTTCTTTGAACTCCAGTTTTATGTAACCTCCTCTTTGGAAACTGGTACCTTTTTGCCCTCCTTTTTCCTTGCAGTTAGGTTGATTTTAACTACCAAGTGTGTATTGTCATTCTGCACACGCAGCGTACGGCAAGTAACTGGTTGCAACATGCGTGCTTGTGTTTTTCCGGGTGAGGCCAGAGCTGCTGGCACAGGGACAGAGAAGTGGCACGGTCCTGCCACCAGCCAGCTCTGCCGTGCAGTCTGGCCGAGGTTTCTGCCGGGGAGGAGCGTAGAGCCGCGTGCATTCAGACCATTCAAAGACTGCCCTACTCAGACCCCGTCTGGAGTCGGCAGGAAAAGCAGCGACAGTCGTTCTGTCTCACCCACCTACAGATGAAGCATTTTGTCACCGAAAGGTTGCAGCCAAATGTCACAGACATACATTGAGGACAGTGCTGCGGGGACCTGATGTGATTATATTTGACAGCACATCAGTTAAAAAATAAATTCCTGTGATACATAAGTGATAGCATTGTGCTGTAGTGAAGTCAGCGACCCTGTTTCTCTAGACTCCACAGTGATTGCAGAATGGTAATTTCCAGAGAAGAGAACCATAGAATCATAGGTTGGAAGAGACCTCTAAGATCATCAAGTCCAACCATCCGCCCAACACCACCATGCCTGCTAAACCATGTCCTGAAGTGCCAGATCTACACATTTTTCAAACACCTCCAGGGATGGTGACTCCACCACCTCCCTGGGCAGCCTGTTCCAATGCCTGACCACTCTCTCAGTAAAGAAATTTTTCCTAATAGCCAATCTAAACCTCCCCTGATGCCACTTGAGGCCATTGCCTCTCGTCCTATCGCTAGTTACCTGGGAGAAGAGACCAACACCTGCCTCACTATAACCTCCTTTCAGGTAGCTGTAGAGAGCAATAAGGTCTCCCCTCAGCCTCCTCTTCTCCAGACTAAAC